CAGTGTCACCGTTTCACCTTTGGTCTCACCTTTGCATGTACAAAGTTGAGTCTCCTCTTTTTCTCGTTCTTGGTTTGTTGCGGTTTTTGGTTTTCGGTTTTGGGGTTGTTTTGTTCGTGTTGCTTGTTGCTTCTTTACAGGAGACTCCAAAAACAGCGCAAGCTGACCTGTGCATTTCCTGCACGTACGGCGGCTCCACTCGTGCAAAAAAAAGCCGCTCGTTTCACCAGGAGACCCATGGGCGCGTGAGTTGCTGATGGGATATGGTGTGTGGCTGGCACTGAGCCAAGAGCTTGAAAATCAAGGGTCCTTGTTCCACGCATTCGTTTTGTTTCTTGCAGTTTGAATCTTGATTGATGTGAGGCTTGTGGAGCTTGGATTGGCTTGAACTTGGATTGGCATGATCTTGGATTGGATTTGATCTTGCGACAGACAGGGCTTGAAGAGCAGTGACGAGGGTTTGAAGAGCAGCCGCTACTTGGGTGATGAGATCAGAGCCGAGAGGGTTGTAATTTTAGATCAGGGGTTTGCTGTGGCATTGCAAGTTCAGCTTTGTGACATGCAGTTGCAGTCCATTTCATTGCAAGTTTAGCATCTAGGATGTTTCTTGTGATTTCTTGCGCAGTTGCATTTCACTTTGTGCACTTGTCAGGTCTTTTGGATGGATGTTTGCACGGCATTGTAGCCCTAGCTCACCTTTTTGCTTCCTGAGCTGACAGGTATGTTGTCCTTGAAAGCTTTGGTTTCGAGGATCCCAGTGATGAGACATGAGAGTCGTCTCAAAAGGGATTTGACCCTGAGATCCCATGACTCGCCTCTGAGGGGTCCTTTTTGACCTGCGTTGTTGCTTGTTGGCTTGGTGGTTTGCGTGCCTTTTTGTTGGTCGAGCTTGACTCTTTGTTGGATCTGGAGCTTTGCTTGAGCTGGACTCGAGTTTACCTTTTGATGGATGACGTTGAGATCACCTTCGAGGACGGGTGTATGGATCTTAGTTGTTGTGTGACCCTTAGTTGTCCAAATGAAACGAAAGAGAGAGAGAAGAGAGACAGATGGCGGCGCCTAGTGACCCAAGGAGGGGTGTGAAAGATAGTGCGTAGCCAGTATGTACAGGGTATGGATCACCTAGTGCCTGTTTCTTAGGTAGATTTTCATTTTTGATGACTTAGGGTTGGAGCCGACTTTGGTTTGTGATCCATTGTTGGTGCTTGGCGTTGACCAACTTGGCAGGATAACCTTTTAGAAGGTTTGGTGTGGCTAGACGTGGCTAGAGAATGGTTAGAGAACCTTTTGGTAGCACAGCGTGTACATGGAGACTGTTTGAGATAGTTCTCTTTAGTTTTGTGTAGGTTAGAGATGACTGTGAACAGTCTTGACTTTTTTAAGAAGAGTTGACTAGCTTTGGAGGCAGTCTGAGCCGACTATGACTTTGCCTCAAGGAGCGGGATCCAAAAAGGGAAACTGCCGCATCCGTGGTTTCACAGTCTGGAGCAGAAGAGTTGCAGACTGGTTCGAATAGTCCGCGAGAGGTTCATTGCATTGGTTCACCTGTTTTTGACAGGATTCGGCTTGTTATTTTTCTTATTGTTCTTGGAGTTGAATTGTGGCGTTGAAACTTCTTCTTTACCTCTTTCAACTTGGTGCTTTTGCGGTGACTGACAGATCACCACTGAGCAGACCCAGTTCTCACTGTTTCTGCTTTTCACCCTCTTCTCCGAGTGACGGTTGGCTTCGACCTTGCATCGAGCCTCAGTGCCAACAAAAAATTTTGATCACATCCGGGGGAAGGTAGAGCAGATTTTTCGTGGCGCTAGAGAGGGAATGAAGAAGAATGAATTTGTTTGATTGTTTCTGTTTAAATGTGTTTGTTTCAGCCTTTTCTTCGTTTGTCCGTTGGTTGTTTTCTTTGTTTGTTGGCTGCGTTTGTTTGGTTGAGTATGTTGGTGGTTCGTTTGTTGACTGCTGCTTGCCATCTGGCTGGTTGGCTGGCTGGCTGGCTCGCTCTTGTTGGCAGATTTTTTGTTTTTGTTTTTCTTCATTTGTTGCTTGGTTGGCAGCTTGTTCTTTGATTGGTTTGGGTGGTTTGTTGGGCGTGTTGTTTTGTTTTGGTTCTGGTGCTGCATTTTGTGTTTTCTTTCCAACCTGTTCATTGCAGCTGGAGGCCGACAGGAACGAAGAACAATCCAACCACTCCAAACTCGAAACCAGAAACCAACCGGAACCAACCCAGCCAAAATACTACATCCAGGAACAAAAAACACCATTGGAATCAAAAAAACCATTTCCCGCTCGTCGGAGTCTGAAGGTCCAAGAAGCAAGGGGAGTGTGAAGGGCCAACCACCGCCACACCAATGCACTAAAACAGCAACAAAGATGAGCGCAGCAATGGCAGAATTTGGTGCCCAGCCCGAGCTGACGCAATGTCGGAGTCAACCAGAGGGTGAGTCCGCGACCCTCAATTCGTTGATGATCCACACGGTGGCCAGACACAGCCAAATCCAAAAGAAAAACAATGCAAAACGTCTTCCAATCACAGGCAGGCACAGGTGGCATGGGCATGCAAAATGGTTCAAATTGAGGGATGCTTGACCTCCCTCTCACTTCGAGAGCAACTTGTGGTTTGACATCCCTGCAGATTCAGGGAATTGCATCGACTGGAAGGTTGATTTCAACACAAAATCACAGCCAAACAGAAATCATGCAACCATTTTTCATGGTGCATTTTTTGTTTTGGCGTGAAAACATGTGTATATGCTGTAATAAAACATGAAGCGACACAATTCAGCAAATACATTGAGGCTCGGCATTTATACGCAGGGGTTTGAGGGAACATCAGAACCCTCCATAAGTGTGTCATGAGAATGCCATGTTCTCAGTGGTAAGGAGGATGCACAAGGAAACACAGGAAGTAGAGTTGCTAAGGAGTAAACCATCATTGACAAATCAACAACAATAATGTGTTTACAATGTGGAAGACTTCGCAATTGATGGTTGGTCGGGGAGTGGTTCCTGAAGCAGGTTCCAAATTTGAGCTGCGTTGCAGTGACATGCTGCAGCTGCTGTTTTCTCAGAGCGAACTGTTGACCCTTCCAAATGTGGCATTTGATGCAGTAAACCGCACACCGCGTCAGCATGTTGTGATGTCATGTTTTGTGATTCATTCACTTCATGTTGCAGTCCGGCCCCGACATGGGGTTCTCAGCCACTAAGTCACTGCGTGATTAGAACTAGGTTGTTGATCAAAGCATTACATTGCAAAATCAAACCAGTTAATTTGATGCTATCCTGCGCACACATGGGCAACGCGTGAATTGTGTGCCATGCAACGTGGATTTCTGCAAAATGTTGCTTGGTTTTGTTACGTATTGTTCTTTGGCAGAAACATAGTAGCAGCCATTGCAGCTGAGCCAAGGGTGGCTATACAACCGACAGCAGCCGAATCCTGGGAATTCATGGCAGTTGCTTTTCCAGAGATGGGTTAGTTTACCAAACGATTAAAAGAGCACTTGTCCTGACACAACATTTGGGACAATTCGAATCACTTGGTCTTGGATTTTTTTAACGACAGGATGGATGCGTTGATCGCTCTCAGGAGAGCCTGAACATGTGGCAAGTCTCCGAGCTTTGCTTGAAAAAGAGGAGGCCAGTTGTTTTTCAAAAGCGGCCACTTCCATATATTTATTTGCCAGGTTGATTCTTGCTTTTATATAAGGACAGACTACGTCAGCTTCGGCAACGTCGTTTGCAAATAGAAAACTCCAAAGTTGCTGGGCTCAGCTTGAGTAAGGCTTAATATTTATTCTTGTGTTTGCTTGGAAACTTAAACGGTGGATGAATCTCATTTCAATCGGCAAAGGGAACTATGTACAGTACATCATTTGGATTCTTTGGACATGCAGAGCTATATTTGCCAAAACCGTTTCTATTTTAGTTGGATCCAAATTTAGCTCTTGCTGCACCGGTTTGGCGCTGTGTCGACTGACATCGACAATTGGAACTTTTTTTTTTCCTTTTTTTGCAATCAACCTGGCATTCTGTAAGAAGTGGTAGTTACTTGGCCTATGAGGTTTAAAAATGATAATAGCAAATGATGTGTTGAGGTGGATCCACCTTCTCGAGTTTTGGAGCTGCCTTGTGAGGGGCCCGACGAGATGGCAATGAAGGCTTTGGGCCGTTGAAGAACGAATACATTTGTTGGCATACGTTATATGTTTGGAAACCGGAATTTACACAACCTGTTAAAAGGTTGTCATAGAAGTCTAAGCTTGCGAGGAGGTTGCATCAAAACGCAATTGGCCACTGAATTCATTGGATCCGGTATGTCTATCGGACAACATTTGCAACACTCAGAAATCTGTTTTTTTGTATATAGAATCACTTCAGTCCTGCGATTTGGCAATCTTTTCATAAGAGGCCTTGGCCCTACATACGGAGCCTCCGCCAGCTGCATTGCACCGGCCACTGAGATCAAATTGGTGGCAAGCTGCACGCCTTTCAAAAGGAATTCTTGACTCTTTTCTGGCATTTGAGCTTGAAGGATAAAAACCTGAAAGTCAGGGATAGACGATAGATGTCAAGCAGAGTTTGACACCGGCACTAGCCATCAATTGCTACCCACAATCTGCTGAAGTGAGGCTTGGCGTAGCTGTCATGCTGGTTCTCGAGGTGGGGCCATTGAAACGTGTCTTAGCTGCTTTGCAGAAAGTCGTGTGGCAGACTTGCAGGCACCGATCCTGGTAGATTTGGGGGACCATCCCCTGCCATCCAGGGTTCCCTGGAAGAACCTACAAATTCTGCTGCGGAAAGAGACAGCGCCCAATGGGAAGAAGGACAGATCTTTCGTATTCATACGGAGTTTTGCAGTGCTCATTGAAGTTGTATCATGCAATTGCTTCTTTTTGTTGGGTAGAACTTAAGTTGTGCAGGGTTGTATCGGCAATTGTGCAGCTGTATGACATTATGACGCATTCTTTTGACGCGAGGCTGGGCAGTCTGGCGTGCCCATGAAAGACATTGTCGCCTCTCTGCAGCGTCCCTTTGGCGACCGCCTTGCCCGTCACATTCAGCGGATCTTGGGAGGTGACCCTCCCTTGACACGCTCAGAAGTTCTGGAACTTGATGAAGCATGCGTAGGTCTTTTCGACTGGGTGATAAATCTGCTGGCTCCTCTCGTCAAGGAAACAAAGAGTGCGACGCTGGGTGAAGACCCCTGTGAACTACGTGCAGAGAGGGAAAGCGCCTCTGAGGCCGTAGGACAACAGGAGAAAAAAGTGGCGCAGCTGCGACGAAAGCTGCGTGAGAGTGTTCGCTCAGTACAAGCAGCCACGGACTTTGCGGTTGAAAACAATCCAAAAAGAACCTCGGAAAAGAGTGCTTCCAAGCCATTGGAGGTGACGGGCGAGAAATCGCTTCAATATCGTTTGGAAGAAGTTGCTATACCTGCTACGCAGGAGGCCATTTTGCAATCCCTGGTGAAGACCTTGATGGATCCGAGAGGTACCCATCGATGTCTTGAAGTGATTGGCCACAGCGAGGACTGGGAAGTGGAAGGATTTTGTGGAAGGTTGCTTGAAGGGAGTGCTTCCTGATTGGATCAAAATTCTTAAAGAAGCTGTTTAGGGACCTTTTTGACTGCAGATCGAAGACGTTAGGCTTGAGACATGAGATCAAGGTTTGCACCTGTTTACAACCTCCGTCATCCCAGGACCGTGAATCTGACAATGTTGCGCAAGGGCGTGCAGAGGCTGCAGAGGCATGGCTGTTGGATGCTGGCATTCCATCGGAGCGCCTTACAGTGTCCTGGGAAGTGGGTGGTCCGGCTGTGTGCCGCCGTACAGACTTCCGGCTGATGGATGTTGTGGGCAGTGAGCTGGTGATGCGCAGGAAAGCCGAAGATGTGATGAAGCGGATATTTGAGAAGCAGACATTGCACGAGTCAAGTGAGAGGCCAGCCCCAACAGAAGGATCCAGTCGAAATGAAGGCCCTGAGCAAGGAAGATCCGAAGAAGATGCAGCACCTCCTGCAAATCCGGTGGAGTTGAAGAGAGTTGTGGAAGATGCAGAAGAAAGTTCCACGAGCAGCTCTCCAACAGTGAGCATGGAGGTTTCAGGGCAACAAGTGCGGCTGGTTTTCAAGAAGGTGGGTTGCTCTTGCGGAGTCAAGATTGTTACAGTATTGTAACCCTGTCTCTTGATAATGTGGGTTTTGCCATCTAGCCACGCCAGAATTTAAGTTACAGCACATACAAATCTTTGGTGTTTTGGACCTTATGCAATTCCGTGAAGTTCCCCAGGACGACCTCGCCCCACATGACGCGATTCTCGAGGTTGGCACAAAGATAGTTCGCTTGGCAAGTCAATCAAGCAGTTGGCCACAGAAGGAGGCCTCTGGGCAGCAACAAGTCTTGCCGTTGTGACATGTCTAGAAGGCATGGCAAAACGCGGGAAGATCCTCCATTGCTCTCCTGGTGTCCCTGGTCACATGTTGCAGTATTGTTATAGTTGCTTATCATTCTACAGGAAAGGAATGTGCCAAAGCGTCCTTGACTGTTTAGCGAAGCCTGTCCAATCCATTCAAGTTGAGACAAAAGCGGACAGTTCATTTCTTGAATCGTTGAGATAGCTGGATGACGTGAAGATAAGTAGGGCTAGTTAGGTCGTGCTGCCGTTTGATGTCCAACCTGAAGAGCCCGCAGTCACTCATCTGCAGCAGAAATGTTATACTTTTGCTGGCAGCTTACTTGGCATCGTGTATCTAAGTCAGCATGTCCAAATACACAAGCCTGCACTCAGGCCAAGTTCTCGCGAAGAGCAGGTCAGGTGCGATAGTGGCATCAGTGTGTAGAACAAAGCCAGTTTAAGTTTCAGCCGCGCACTCTGAGCCTGTAAACGTTTTCATGTATAAATCTAATGAGCGTTTGGGTGTTTGGGAGATTTATGTCCGCGATTCAACTTGTCAAGAAAGTTGGAGAATTCAGTCAGAGTTGGCAGGCATATCAATTTTTTTGCTTGAGTTTTTGTCACTTTGCTACACAACATGTTGTGACCCTCACATCTATTGACGCAATCGCTGTCAAACAATGCTCTAAACAATTGCACGGAGACTCGCAGGCACATTGACCCTGACGCTGGCTGCAGCAGGATAAACCCCTCGAAAAAAGAGCTTAACAGGCTGTCCGCTTCAGGGAAACTCCTTTTCTGGATGTCTCAAGGCCAGGAGTTCAGTGCACAAGTAGTGGCTGATGAGAAGTGAATGAACAATATGTGGCTTTCACTTCCAACATTTTTCAAAACGGTGAACCTTGCTGATATGCAGGTCTTTCTCCAATGCAGTGCAAACTTGATGGTTGGAGCATGCTGTATTTGTTCCTTTTTTGGATGGAACATGCAGATGTGTCAATATCAGGCTGCAGCACAGGAGACACACCCAGACCGGGAGCACCCCCAACAGGGCCACCTTTGTTCATCATCCAACGTGGCATTTTGTGACATGCTAAAAAAGCTGGCAGAGCAGAGTTGCGCAGATGTGGAGCGTGGTGATGTCGAATGTTGTTGAATCATGGCACTTTCAAAAACTATGTGTTCGGTAGTCTGAGCAATGTTGCTGGACCTGGGTGGTGGAGTCCAGCATGAAGGCAAGCTCTGTATACGTCTCAGCTCAGGGTGATGGGCAGTCAAGGGAGTTTCTCACGGATTCTCATTGTTCGCACTGTCAATCCGCGGCAAAATCTGCCTTGTCCTTGTGTAGTCCTATTTGTTGCAATGAAGGCAGTTTCAACCACCGTTGTGACTTTGCACTAATTTTACTCTTCACACGTCGCTTTGCTTGACGGAGAATGGCTCACCTGGACAGGTGAAACAAGGAGGACTGAGGTCATTGCCACCACTCGAAGGCACTGATGGGTTTGGAAATTTCTTTTGGCTCTGGTGTAGTGGTACTCTCTCTGGAGCCTTTTGTGCCTTTGCGCAGGCAGTTCTTGTGGTCACAGGTGGGCAGCCGAGCTATGGGGGACGTGCTGTGGCAGCTGAGCCAAGTGGGGTGAATGGACTCAATTGCCCATGATCCACTGAGGATAACCTCCCAGATTGGTTGGCCTGCTACTCTCAGAAGTTAGAAGGCGCCTCGGGAGGATTGCACGAGCACCCTTTCCTAACTTGGGAGATGAGTAAAACCTATACACATCGTTGCTTCCACAAGTGGACAGGTGCGAATGAAACTGCAGAAGGCAGTGATGGTTTGGTTCATGCTTGTTGGAAGCCCAGAGGATTGCAGGTTGGGAGAAACTGAAACAATGCCAATTCGGTGCCCCCGCTATGATTGGCTCCGACTCGTTGGCTCCCATTCTGAGGCTCTAGCTGCCTTGGATGCTCCCTTTGCATTGCCTTGCTTGGGATCATTCAGGAGTGTTTGCTGCCTGGGCTGAGTGGCTTGCCTAGATGGTGTGCGAGACGGTCATACAGACTCAAGAAAGACTTGAGATACGGGTGCAGCATGGCACAGACAGCACCTCACCTTAACTGTTGTCAAGAAATGTCAAGGTCAGGTCTATGAGGCGATTTCTGATGGGGTTGGCCGTTTGTGTGGAGCTTCTTTGGTCTATTTGCAAAGAATTTGTAACTTATTCATAAACGCAGAGCAGAGTGCTACAAGACTCGGACAGTTCCCTCAAAATATGAAATCCCTTGTGTTTTCAAAGGATGGTGAGTGGAACTGCGATATAGTTGCCTAGATCAGCACACAGTGACACAGTTGACAGGCTGGTGATTCTGTCAGGTGCCTCTTGTGCTTCTGGCCACTTCGTGGGGTGCGGCTGTCATTCACGTGTCTTTCTGAGAGAGCTGCGATGGACCCATGAACTAGTCACTAGTCGTCAAAATTTGCGAACTATTCCCCATCCTGCAATGCAGGGTGTGTCGGACGGCCCTCATGTCTCTATGACACAAGTCAGAAGTTTGAGTCATCGGACCGCCCTCATGTTTTATGCCCGAAGTTTGACTCCGGCATTTAAACAAGTTGGTGTTGGCAAACACCCAGCATTTGGATGAAACAAACAGCAATCATGAAATGCAAAGACCACACACACAGGCAATGCATCCTCTTCCAGGTGTTTTGTACTTGGCATATGCCTTGTGCACAGCCGAAGAGTGTGATTTTGGGCAATCTCATAGGCAGGGACTTTACAATTTGGCCTGGATTTTGGGTTGAAGCATATACATTGGACTTGGAATGTACTGGGTTTGTAGGCATATAGTCATGTGCTTGATTGATTGTGGATTTTGCAAGGTTGACATGAATCTATCGCCCTTTCATGTTGCTAGGTTTGCGTTGCCCAGACTCCTTTTTTTGCTTTCGGAAACTAACTTGCAGACAGGACATCCGTGGTCCTTTACATGAATTTTGTTAGCTGCCTTCCAAACAGTGCGAGTAGTCAAGGAAGTGCTGGGTTATATAGGTCATCCTTGCTGTGTTCTGTAGACATTTCGGCTCAAAACCGACTTGGCTTGTGAAAACCTTGGCGGAGATGATAGCGGGAGCCACAAAGACATTCATGGCCGACACGTCACTTTCAGGGAGGTACTTGATGGATTGCATCAATTTATATAGTGAAAGCAATCGTATGGAGTGAAACAGGTGATACAGAACGAAAAGCAATTAGCTTGTCCACCATGCTTTGCCCTTTTGCGCTTGCAGCGTTTGTCGCGCTGACCAACGCCAACTCCTGCAACACAAGCACCTCTGAATGCATTTCCATGCTGTGCTGAAAGCTGGTGCGGATGGGTCAAACCGGTCAAACCCATAGTGTGAAGACAGAGGACTCAGTGGATGTCAGTGGATTCATGACTTTTTGTTTTGTGTTCATGTCCAAATCCTGGGCATCTAGATCAAAAAAATAACATCAACAGAATAGAAAGAGGATCAAAAATAGACAATAAAGGATTAACAAAGTATTCCTTGATCGGCCTCTTCTGCTGCTCTCCTGGCCCTGTGGTCTGCGGGTCCTCTGGTCCTTTGGTCCGCTGGTCCACTGGTGCTTTGGTCCCCTGGTCCCTTGGTCCCTTGGTCCTCTGGTCCACGCCCTTTGGCCCCCTGGTCCTTTGGTCCTGGTCCGGTCCGGTGGGGTCCTGGTGCTTTGCCCTCCTGGTCCTCTGGTCTGCGGGTTTCCTATGGTTTTCTCTTTGTTCTTTCACTGATGCTTTTTGATGCCTGTGGTCCTTTCTCTTGTAGCTTATTGGCCGCAGTTTTCCTGCAAACGTGCAATGCTTTTAGCTTCGGTTGCCTTAGGTCCTTTTGTGCACTTTTAGATTCCCTTCACTGAAAGGGCGCTAGGGTACATATTTTCTAGTGATTCTTTTGTGGTGCTGTGTTTTAACGTTTGGTTCGCTTTGGGGGGGAGGCGCTGCGCCCTCCCCCCTCCAGCACCATGAATTCTGCCTCTTGCACTGCGCCTGCCACGAAAACTAACTATGTAAAGGGTCGCCCATCGCATTTGCAGGTTGTCCTCCTCTTGCCCTTGTCTTGGTCGCGCCCCTGTCTGTGGGGCTAGAATATCTTTTTTTGACTCCCTTTCAACTTATTTTTGATCCCCGTTGAATATTCTTTTGATGTCCTTTTTAGAAAGAAAATTACGGATGTGGAATGTTGAGTTACAACTCCACAACCATTGCCTGATTCTGTGAAGTTGGAAGGCAATGATTGATTGACTGGCCTCCTGAAGTACCCGCTAAGTAAGACGTATATATGTATCTCATGTGACTCATGTGCTCATGTATATATGCATATAAATACAACAGCTGGTTGCAAAAAGCACGCCTGAATGCTTGCCTCAAAGACATCCAGTGCAGCGGTTGGTCGACATCATAGACATTGTAGTCCGAGGCGGAACTGCTTTCATTCAGACAGTCATAGCCCTAGTACTCCGAGCTTGCATTGCTCGAGCGGTTGGAGCGAAGCTTCTGTTGCTGATTGAGTTGTTCTAGGTGATTCTGTTTGAAAGCTTTGGGTTGAGCTCCAATTTGTTTACCACCTCAACTGGTTGTGGCCCAGGGAGCAGGATTGGAGCATGAGCACCTGAAGAGACGACAGGTGGCAGAGGTGCAGACGATTCTGGAGGAGTTGCGCAGTTGTCAAGCAGCAGCAGCAGCGGCAGCAGCGGCAGCAGCGGCAGCGGCAGCACAGCGCCCTTACTGTGTTGGTGTCTTTGACACACCTTGATTTGAGATCTCCGACAGGACTATGAAGAACACAGTCAATCCAAAGACTTTCAAGGTCGGGTGGTGGTTCCTGGACATGACACGAATTGCTTTGGACACCAACTTAACTTGATGCCTGCTGTTTGGAGGCCGGCGGCTTCACATCATCAATTCGTGTTCTCGTCCGATGGTCATGCACAGCAGCGGCGCCACAGCGACGCTTCAA